TGCAGGAGTTTTCAGAGCATAACCAGTTCATCTACTTGCTTGCATTAGAATCTTCTGGTAACTGGCTACATACTTAAATGACATCTAGGGAGGCAAGCATTATCAATATGAGTATGAGGTCTGGGCCTTGTTTGATTTCATATATGGCCATAGCTAGCTAGAGAAAAAAATTTCTACAGGGCTGTGAACAAACTTTATGTTAACATGCCCAACTCCATTGAGAACACTTCAGCTAAATACACATACAAATAGAAGAATAGAAAATATTCTTGCAGTTCTTTTCCTTGGAATAGATTTGACAGTGAACTGTGTGCTTTAGCCACAGTATCTACTTTCAGATCACTCTTGACTTCATGTGGAACCCATGAAGTCTTTTTGACTCACTCCGCAGCAGACAGGAATGCTGTGCTTGTTGACAATGCAGTATTGGGAGGCGGAAGGCAGGCCACACTATCTGACAACAGTGGAGCTAGCTTGTAAGCATTGCAGAAGCCCAGGTCTCAGTCAGTGGAAGTGCTTTACAGTTTAACCTTCACAACTGTTCCGAGTGCCCATTTTACTCTCTTTCACAGACAGGATAACTAAAATTCACCAGAGCTGGAATTGAACATCTTCACATAGATTAAATCATGAAAAAAGGACTAGAAATAATTTTAGTTTCCTAGGGGATACTTGCTTACCATATGTACCCTTAGGTTGTGGCCTATCAGAGAAAGAGAAAGAAACTAGGAAGAGGTCAGCAGCATGTCAGTGGATTTGAGTCCAGATTTATGATTGTGTTCACTGCAGAGAGCCCAAACTAAGGGAGTGGACAAGCGGTGTCAAGAAACTGCAAAGCAAATTGACAGATGGTTGATAAAAATTAAATTAAGAATCAACTCTGAAAAAGTGGCAAGTACTAGGACTATACCGCCGTTGTGGGACACTTTCTTCTGTCACTCTACTCCCCTCTGAAATGTAAAGCGACTTACCCAGTGCAGCGGGGGGTCTGATCAGCCTGGCAAGATAAGCCATGGGTGCAATGGCGGCATGAACATTACAGGGTTAGCCAACAACTCTATGATTGGATTCAATCCCTACTCCACAGGAGGGAGCACACATCTGCTACTGTAAATGCCAGCCAAGAACCCATGACCGAGGAGCTCATGTGCCCAGGTGTGAACCTACTATTAGGTTTCTAGTAAACAGGTAAAAAAGATCAAGCTGTGTTCTAAAGTCAGATCTCTATTCTCAGAGACTCATTCAGCTCTCAGAGCTGGTGGGAAAGGCTGAGGTCACCTTCTTCTTTCCGTATGTATAGAAACGGTAAAGATTGGCTACTTAGTTTAAAACCTTGTTTGAGAAAATGATCAAAGGAGTAAATATGGAACATGTTGGTTTCAAAGGAACTTGAGAAAGGAAGAACAAATAAAACTTATTTGAGTAGATGAAGGGAAGAGGAAGAAAGAATGAGTGACAGAACATGAAAAGTAAGAGGATAGAGTGAAGTCCACTTGTAAGTAACAGAAAAGAGGTTACACAGATTAATGCTGAAGTAGATGAAGTAAATGTATTATAGATATATGAACACAGCAGTACACAGCAGCTCCATGGGTATTTGTTCTACTGGCTTTGTAAGTTCCTTATCTTAGAGGCATTCCATAACAAACACATCACAGTCTTGGGCATTCTGCCTCAGTTGAAACATTGCTGCCACCTCTGTGACATGCTTTATCCAGTGCCTGCCTTCTGCTGTTCATGTGGCAATGGCTCCAGACTTGAATTCTTATTTTGTGCCTTCTTTGTACACAGGAGATATCATCCATGTGCTGCAGTGCAAGCTTCAGCAGGGAGAATGGGCCTTCTGTCTCTAGGGACGCAAAAGCGGGAGGCCCTCACCGTGCCCAGTTAGTACTGCTCCTAGGTACATGTGCTTAGGGCCAAGCACTTGGAATTAGAAAACCATCAAGGGCCCATCCCTAGAGAAAACTGGTTCTTTCTCACGCAGCAGTGAGTGAGTGACTGCCATAGCTCTTCATGTAGGGCTGGGGCCTTGTGAAATTTCACTGGTTCATGCTGACTTGTGTAGCTGTTATGTAGGTCTTTAGGCAGCCTGTCTAACTCTTACAATCTTCCTAAACCCTCTTCCACAGTATTCCCTTAACCTTAGGTTAGGGGTTGGGATGCCCACCCCCAATTAATACGCCTCAGTTTCCAGGTTTTACAGTTTTGTTAAACATAACTAATTCTTTTTGTTTTGAGTCATGTTCTCTTTGACATATCCAGGTTGCTTTTGTGTGTGTGTGTGTGTGTGTGTGTGTGTGTGTCTTATGTTTGAGAGTATGCATGCATGTGAAGGCCTGAGGTTGATGTTGGAGATCATCCTCAATTGTTCTTCAACCTTGTCCTCAGGATCTCTTAATGAAACCTAGTGCTCACCAGTGTGGCTTGGCTTGTTAGCCACTTTACTCTGAGGGTCTGCTGTCTATGCGTTCTGAGCTCTGTAGAAGAAGGCCAGTGTACCCACCCACACTTGGCATTTACATGGATTCTGAGGATCTGAACTTTGGTTCTTAGACTTGCATGGCAGGGACTTTGACCACTAAGCCATCTCTCCAACCCTCAAATGATGTTTTTAAAAGCCTATGACAATGATACTGAATCCTGAGAAGCACCATTCAATCGTTTAGTTATGATGAAATTAATTACTTTCTTATATAATATTTGATATTCCCCCCCAAATAAATGACCCACTTTTCTCAGAATTTGGGGCATTGGCTCTCATAATGAAAAAGAGCTTCTAAGATTTATTTTGAACAGTAGATTTGCATGTAATTTGTTACAAGTTTGGTGCTTTTCCAATGGCCAGAACTTTGGGTCACATTTGGCTATAAATAATACTTTCTTCACTTTGGCATGAGTTTGCACTGCAGCACCTTTTCGCCTCATGACCAGGTGTGCACAGAGAAGGCTGCTGTTTCGCTGGGTGTCAGAGAAGGGTGTGCATGCTATTACCGTCTGCAAATGAGTGGCAGACCAAAGGAGGTATCTTCTGAGACGGCGGCCACACATGTGAACAACCGCTTTGATCTCTACCATCTGGCCAGGCTTTAGAGTTATGCTAGGGAAAGCGGGCAGGTCCACCGGGCACATTATTGTCTTTCTAGTCCTGTTCCCACATCATCTGTTCCTAAGTAAGGTGATGGCTTACTGCCTCCTCATCTCAGTACCCATACCACTTACCCTCGGTAATTTCTGTCAGAAATAACTGAGTACAGCCCAGGTTTATAAAACACAGTGACTGTGTAAGTCTCATCTGGTTCAGACTCCTACCTGAACTTTAACAAAATGATGTGGCAGCTCTTTTCTCAAGAGACTCCCATGAGAACTCTTTAGAGGAGTCAACTCAAATAGCATCCGATAGCCTGCAGGTGCAGTCACTGAATGCAAGGGGCCCGCAGTGCTTGCTAGGTTTTAGAGCTGGTTGTAAGAGAGAACTGGATAAGGTAGCTGGGTGGCACTCTTTGGAGATTCCATATGGGCTCTCCCATATAGTGCAAACGTGTTTACAAATTTCCATTACATCCTTGATGCTGTAAGCTGTGTTACTGGAATAGGCAATAATTAAAATGATTTGTCTTAGAGTCAGTTCTACACTAAAGATGCCATCTTCTTATTTCTTTCCACAGCTTGTCTCATATCTTTCAGTATCCCAAGGCCACTGAAGTTGATAAATAACATGATAATGAAAACCAAGCTTAAAATTGGCACATAGCTATGATCTTTACTAACTTTCTTAACTAGATAATTGTACAAGAGGCATTCAAGCAGTCCCTGCATGGGTCATTCCCTAAGCCATTTTGAGGTTGCTTCCATAGGAGGTTTTTGACAGAATTGATTTCTACCAGGAGCCAAGTAGGACCAGGATGTCCTACCCAGCTTTTCAAAGCTGAGCATCTCACATATGCCCTTCTCTTGATGCTTTCCATACTGCCCTTTCTCTAGCATTGTAGTCCCTGGGATTTAATTTGCAGATAGTGAGACCTATTTGGGGTAGAAATTTTATTTACATATAAAATATATCTACTTCCTGTCCACTTTGTCCTTCCAAATAACCATGATAGATCCTCTATATTTGTAAGTTACATACATAGAAGTCTACCAACCACTGATGGGAAAGGGATGGGCATATATCCGTATTCTACCTCTACAGACTTCTTACTCACTAAAGACAATGGAACAATGATTTACATGCTATTTGTGTTTAGGTATATTACAACCAGTCGAGACACAGAGTATATGTCAGATCGTGGGGTGCACTATATGCAAATATTGTAGTGGTTCTTATCAGGAAAGCAAGCATCTGTAGAATGTGGTCTCTTTCGGGGGTCCTGAAAATAGTGGCTACAAGAAGACAACAGCACACACACACACACACACACACACACACACACACACACACACATTTTTTTCCTCATTTCAGAGTCCAGTAGTTATCAGCCAGTCCTACCTGTTTTGCTTACCTGAAAAATGGACATAACAAGTGTCAGTTGATGGAAACTATTTTGGACAGATGGAGTACTGAAAGATGTTTTTCTTGGCATTATTGAAGCCTGTAACTCAGTGCTGCCTTAGCTAAGCTGTGCACATACAGGTGCTTGGGAATTAGCTTTCTACCTGTAACAGTTAAATCTTTGCTGGTTATTTCTGTTGTGTTTCCCTTTCCCCAAAAGCTGGCTTTTCCAAAGCTGATACGTCTGCAAATAGACATATGCTTTAGGTCTACACTTGTTAATTTACCTTGGAAAAAATCAGGTCACTGTCAAATCTGGCAATGCAGCTTACAGATACTTGGCAAAAATGGTCTAATTAAAAGCATCTCTTAGATGAAAATCTCAGGGAAATAATCAGTATGAGTACTGCTCTTCTTTTCTGGATCTGTGTGTACATAGGTATCCGTCACTTCTCATATTAAAAGTGTGTTGACTGTGTGCTAATAGTCCATCTCTTTCCTTTTACAGCCTCCAAGTCTGTTATAAATAGTATGCTACGGGACCCTTCTCAGATTCCAGATGGAGTTCTAGCAAACCAGGTCTATCAGGTATTAATCACAGCTGTTTTCAGTGGCGATGCCGTTATCTGCCTAGCCGAGTAGAGGATCTTAAACCTCATTTAATTACTGTCATCATAAACTATCACTGAGGTCAGGGCACACCATAAATGGCAATGCAGTTATTTTCGAGAAGAACATTTTACTTTTTAACAGCTTGCTTTTATAGTAAATAAGAAGCATGCAATTTTTGCTTTCTGTGATTAAATCTGAATAGCCTTTGGACAGTCTTCTTTCGGATGGTGGTTGGGTGCGAGGGTAATGAGTGCTTTTAGAATGTTTACTGTGGTGGGGTTTGTAGTCAGCCCAGCCAATAACGCCTCCCTTATTTGTCCGCAGTGCATTGTGAATGACTGCTGTTATGGACCGCTGGTGGACTGCATCAAGCAGTATCCTTCCCCATAAAATTTTAGGTGCACAATTGACGAGCTCAGACTTGGTGGAGGAGATGTGTCTAGCTTTAACCTGACATAAAGTTCTGCTTCACAAAACACATTTCATACTCTCCTATTTTACATTCAATCAACTGGAGGGTCACTGCAGACCATTCTTCTCTGCCGCTGAGGAAAGAGCAGCTAGGCCACAGGAAGATGTCAGCTCAGCAGATGCATGTCCATATGCTTATTTCAAACTGCTTGGTTTTCAATGAGTTTGAAGGTGCAGAGTCATTAGGCAGGTAACATACTGTCTTGGAATGTATCTAACCATCCCAGTGCCCATTTTTTAAAATATAACAAAGTTCCATTTAAAATGAGCCAAATTCAGTTGAGTGTTCTAGAATAAATTTTGAGCCTGGAGTTGAAGGATGATGTTATTAAAATGCCACCAGAGACCATCACATTTTAAAGGGCAGTGGGCTCTCCTTGCTTAAATGCTGATTGCAATCTGCACTGTCGTTTAGACCCCTAATAAACATTTTTAGAGAAACCATTCTAATTTTTCCCATGGGACCGACTTTAAGGCTATGAAAGCTGATGTCCAGTCATTTCTCATTAAAGCCATTGAGATTCCTAAGGAGTTAATGTTTACTTCTTAAAATAAGACTGGGTAAATGGCAATGATTTCAGTAGTGTAGAGATGATAGTAAATGAAATGGCCCGACAGTGAGAATTTTGATAACACTTTAGGGAAAAGAGTACTTACTTAAACAGTACTTATAATTTTTGGTGGAGATCATTTAAGAATGGCCTTCCTGGGCTAATTTTGTTAGCAGGGATGGCACAGGGGCCAGTATGGCTCAGTGATCACCACTCAGTTTTTGTTGGATTTTCTTGCAAGCTGAGTGGGTAGATGCATATCCACACATGCACATATATGTGTGTGCATATCCACACACTCACATATATGTGCATGTGGCTATTCACACGTGCACATGAATGTGTACATGCAAGTCCATATGTTCACATATATGTTTGTGCATGCATATGTTTATTTATTTCTTCTGGTTTTCCAAAGGTCTAGGGTCAAATCTTATCCAGGCTGGCCTTATACTCCCAATCATCCTACCTCCATCTCCTTTGTGTTAGGATTGCAAGTGTGCATGGCCACACCCAGCTCACATTTTTTGAGACGAAAATTACTTTCTTTCCTGAAAACATAATTAAGATTTGGCATAATCTTTGAGCACAGCCCTCTTGCAAGAATGATGAGTAACTATTATGGAGCTTTTTACATATGCATTCTGTGATCTGGTCCTCTAGCAAAAATGAACCAAACCATAGTATTGTCAAATCTGGCTTTTTTTTTTTTTTTTGTTTTTTATTAGATCAAAGTGTAGCTATGGTTCTATTTTCAGTGTGAAATTAATGGTAGTGTTAAAAGTTGTAGGAGCGCCAACCTCACATTGCCTTGGTGATAAACTCCAGCACATTTATAAAACAACTAACACCACCTCAGAGTGTCTAGGGCTAAGTTACATGCTAATTTCAAAGCACATAAAATAGTTAAAAATCAATTTAAAGTTAAGGTTTTAAAAGCATAATGTCTTTTGAAGGATTGCATATTGATTTTAAATATAACTCTCTAATTATATATGCATGGACTAAAGTATGAAGTCAACTGCTTTGTAAATGCCAGGAGGCTATTTTTCAGTAATAGTTGAGACACTTACGGGAAACTAGATTGCTATATTGCTGGAGAAGAAAATGGCTTGTGAGGTTATTTACAAGTTTTTGCCCCATGGTCACTACCATACATCAATAATAGGTATCCTTATAGACAATGTCTAAGTGTTTCTGCTTATGGAGCATTATAAATTCTGTCTGGAATATTCTCCTTGTATACTTATATTTTTTGCAATCATTCATATTCTCTTTTGGCTGTGTGTTGTCAGTAGGATTTAATGTGTAATATTATTTCAATTGATAAATATAATGATGTATGTATATAAATTGTATTCACTGTCTAGATTCTAACTTTTGCAGTTTCATTACGCTTATTGCCAGTAAAAATTGCTGCTTTTATAAGCTTTATTTTCTAGACCTTGCATTTTTATTTCTATATGAAACAAAGCATGATCAAGAAGTCTTTAAATCTTTCCAAAATTTAAAATTGGTGATTGCTGTAATTATACAAAGTAAAACAGGCTGGAGAGTTTATGGAAAGATTTACTGTATCTTTGCATTGAGATGATGTCAGTTTCATGTACTGTAAGTAAGCTTGCAAAGATGTTTCCTATACTGATCAACAGGAATCATTTTATTTCACACTGGATGAGATTATTGGTTTCCTTTGTAAGTGAGAAAGGCTTTTCTATATGGTCCTGATAATTTGATAATGTTTGTTTGCCTTGCTTCATGAAAGTACATTGTGTTTTTTTGTTTGTTTTGTTTTTGTTTTGTTTTGTTTACAAAGAAAGCACACATTTGGTAAATGGAACAGATAGAAAACCTTCTTACTCCATTATGGAAATGATATGACGTAGGTACTCATGTACAGAATATGTGTATCACTTACTAAAATGGCACAACTCCAATCACAGTAGTAAAGAGAATGTATTGTCAGAGTGCTTTATTTTTCTTTTGGTGCCTACTATATGTATGTATGTGTTTGTTTGTTTGTTTATAGATATAGAGGTATCCCACTCATATATTTGCCTCTGCATCTCATATCCACCAAGCAAACTCCATGAGAAAGAAGTCACTTCAGCTTTCCAAAGTGGGATCAAGGCCACAGCTGTTAGATAAAGGTCTGAACAGAGAAGCAAGGGGAGATGATGATGCAGGAAGATCAGGGACTGTGGGTTTCACTTCTCTATCATCAGTAACCTCAGTTTCATGATTCAACATTTCAGATGTAAATAATTTACAACAATAAAAGTGAGAGCACATTTATGTGGAAAGAAGTAAATAATTTAGTTGGAAAATGTGGGATGCCCTGGTAATGAAATATCATTGAGACCTACCCACCAAATGTCTTCAGTGAACTCAGAAAAAAATGTGTGAAATTTTGTGATTGAACATTTTTGGTTTTGTTATTTTATTTCTAGTTAAAAAAAAAAATAAGTGCAGTCATGTACATTGGAAGAGGGGGAAATAACAGGCAGAAGCAGTAATGATGGCTTTGGCCTTGTTTAGATCGTGGACAAAGGTGATTTTATCTCTTTAATGTAAATGTTAGTCACCTGTAACTGATTGATAAAGAACACAGTGATTTTCTGTGACTCTTTTTAAATTAGTGATACATAAGTTTCCTTTGATTTCAGTTGAATGTTCACAAAACATGATCAGAATAATCCCCTCTCTGTTAAGTCAAGGAGTGTTGTACCCACGTTGATGTTATGGGATTGGGTGGGATGGACAATCAAGGAGGTAATCCTGACTATTTCTTTTCAGTAGGACTGAAGGACCACGTCAGAGGAATACTCTTTGAGACTTAGTATAGTCTCTTTCCTTCAAAAAAGAGCGAGCTTCAAAGTATTGCCACTGGCTTCATTATTTATGAATCGTAGGATTTTGAGCATAGTCCTCCGCATTTTTGCACCGTGCTTTACATGTCTGAAGAAATGGGACTAAGATTATCTACTCTTGGAGTTGCTCTGAAGCTTCAAGCAAGGTCTCAGTCTTTAGTGTAAAGGCTTCTTACGCGGTCCTTAGAAAGTATTGACTATTAGCAAGTATTATATAACTGATGCTTTTGGAAAAGCTGTGTGGTCAAACACAGGCTTTGGAGAGAGCTCATTCCTGCCTTGTTTGTTTGCTTGCTTGTTCTTCATTGCTACAGATGGAACCCAGGTTGTCAAGAGTGTTAGGCAGTCACTGTCCCACTGTGCTGTGACCCCAACCCCTCATCCTTGGTTGTCCCACACGTTAACTACCTTTGTGAGGTTCCTTCTCTGATTGTATTTCCTCATTTGTAAAACAAGGCTGTTTCTACTTGTAAAAGTTACATAACATACTTAAAGCACTTGATATGATGCTTGCCATAGAGAAAGCATTGGAATAATTTATATGTTTCTGTACACCTGTTCCTGTGTATTTGAATGCTTTAAAATGGACACACACACACAGGCAGCAGACTTTGTGTCCCTGGCAGTTAAGCAAGAGCTATGTCTGGCAAATGGTTCTCACAGGTTTCTAGGACTCTAAGATTGGAAACTGGTAGGGCAAAGACAGGTTAGTTACCTTTCTTTCATGTACTGAGTATTCTGTAAACATGTACTAAGTTGAATTGGAGGGCTTTCTTTTTTTTTTTTTTGTTTTGTTTTGTTTTAACACAAATTAATGTATCTTTTAAGTGACTCCCTCTTTTTAAAAGAAATTAAAATCATACTGATTTATAAATCTTTGTGAAGGTATGTAAATGTTATAAAAAATTCTGCTGACTTATTTAGATGAGGGAAGAACACATATGGAAATTTTCTTCCACAAAGGTATAATCCGGGTGGGAAGCCTTGTATATAATTACCGTAATTCTCCACTTCATCTCAACATATTGACTTGGCATTCGAATATTCCTGATAGTTAAGCCCTTCTGTGTGTATTGCCTCCTTAACTGAAATGTCCAGTGCTATTGGCTACGAGCATGAAGTCCTGCTGAGAGACTTGCTTCTGAAGAACAACCTGTCCTTCCTAGGTAAGTGTTGCTCAAGTCCTGTGACTTAAAGACAGTGTTTTAATCTTACACCTGCAGGTACTCCATACTGCTGCGAGAGAGAGGCTAATGACTGATGCTCTCCATGGTATCTTTTATTGATTTAGACCCGAGCAGAAGCTCTCTTACCCAATCCCCTATATAGCCAGCACATACACAGGCTTGCAATTAATATTTTATAGAATAAGTGGCTGAAAAAATGCTTTAATATCTGTTGGAGTATTACTTTTGGTGTCATGAGATATTCACCATAATCTGAGCCTTATGAGAGTAAGAAACAAAGAAATATTGTCTATAAAATGCTTTATGTATTAAAGAGAATACTTAGAAAAATTCATGTTAGGCATGTTCATCTCATATGGGAAAGTCCTGTTATTGAAAAGCAAAATATCAAGCTTTTATTATTTTCATGCCAAGTATTAATGGCATCATAGACTTAGTATGATTTTTCAAAATCCCCCTATGTCTGCATTGATACGTGACCCAGTAGAGAATCTTAACTGTACAATGTTATTTCTTTCAACATCTCTTCATCATTAGAAATAAAACCTGGAACGACATCCATGTAATAATGGGGCATGGCAACCATAAAGCACCCAACGAAGCATTAATTTTTCTTCTCTGTTATATCTGTGGTAACTAACAAAAGATCCACACCAATCGTGCTAGTGAGCAGACTCATGCCGACACTGAAGAACCTTATAGTGTAATTTTAGGGACAAAAGGGGAAAGCATATTCCATTACTTAATTTAATTGTAAACTAGACAACACACTGGCCAAGGAAAGTCAAATCCATAAAACCTAGACTACACACTTCCTAGTCTTTTTATTTATCAACTAGGGAGGGGAGTCAGATATATTGCAAGATTGTTGGTGTTCCGAAGCTGGGAATGGTCACAAATATTCACTGATTAAGGTTAAAGAAAGAAAGTTGAGAAATTAGGAAAGTGCTCTCCAGTTACTAAATTTGGACAGCATAAACAGCCAAGTATTTTCATATAAGAAGGGAAACTGAATTATAGAGCCTATGGAAACAATGTCGTGTGTAAATAAATTTCCCTTTAAAAATGCATAATGCCAAATACAATCGGCAACAGCTTAGAGCTAGTTATAATGGGGTGCCTATGAGGCACCTTAAGGTATGTTTCTGAATGATAGTTGTTCTGATAATATGACAGAGTGTGTGATCCACCAGTTATCCAGCTGCTGGTCAGTGTAGTTGTCTTCTTGGAGTTCACTGATAGTATTCTCCCAGCACCATCTCCCTATGGACAGTCAGGTCCCTTCAGGGCCCTGCTTTGTCTAGCTCAAGTCCATATGCCTCCTCCCTGAGGACTAGCAGACTCACACTGGAAGAGCGAGCAGAAAGTACCAGATGTGACCTGACTTTAGGTCTAGAACCTCAGATAACTGGAACTGAGTGTGTTAGACTAGACTCACTTCAACTTAGAGGTGCCAATGTGTACGGTCAAATGATTGTTCCAACTGCACATGAATATACAGAAATCCTCAGATATTGAATTCGATGGGTCACACATACTTCACTGTGCCCTGCAATATACAGGGAATTATCTGATGAAGACATATCTGTTGTGTGAGGTTTCTTGAAGGAGATGTGAAGAAATCATCTCTTCACCCTAGGTAGGGAACAGACTGCAGACCAGACAAACAAATCCAACCACATTGCAATCGGTAAACCATTAAGCTTACTGGAGTTGCTTTTAGAGCATGGGGGACTCAAAGGCACCTGCACCCTGGCAAACTCCATCCCAGGACGAGTGAAGACTCAGGGAAGGCTCCTCCCAGAGTTTTCTGTACAACCAGTGATCACACTGTGCATGAGAGGGGTCTCCTTCTCCTCCTTGGCAACCGTTTATTGCTTTTACGATCTGGACCTTGTGGATTTTGCAACTTCACTAGATTCCTAAATGTCTTTAGCTTCCCGGGCCTTGCCAGCCCTCTAGGCCCTGGAATCCACAGGGACCTCACTGGAAAATACCTGGTGTTTCACATAAGCCTGTCCAGAAGGGGCTGGTTTTCTCCCTTCGGCCGCTCATGCAGCCTTAGTCTCAAGGAGGCATGGGAGTTCTGTCATCCAGTTGTTCTGGTGTCTTCAGTCCCATGTCCCACATATTCTTACGAACCGAGTTGTGGGTAGCTCCTCCATTACCTGTTTAAAGGCTTCCTCAACCCAAGCTGTTCAGGAGCTTGTTGTAGTTTGCTGTACTAGACCGTAGGCATGCTGAATTGGGCTTTTTTTGTTTTGTTTTGTTTTTTGTCCTCCATATTAAAGCTCAGACCTGAGGTCTGTCTTCTATGACTTCTATTTCACTCTGCCTCTTTATTGAGCACCTCTTTCCTATCTGACTCTTCCTGTGTGTCCCATGTTTAGGTCGCCGTAAAGGCTTTTCCTAACTTTTACTGTTTTCCCTTTGCATCCTGTCAGCTCTAAGCCAATACATCACCCTGTTGTCTATTTTTTCCACTTGTGTCTTTTTTTTTTTTTTTCGTTATAGTGCTTTCATGGACAGGCTTTTTTGGAGTGAACAACTCAGACTCAGTTGCACGTTTTATAGCTCAAAACAAAGGCCAGGCAACAGCCTGCTGTGATACTGGTCTGTATGTGCTACTTTCAGAAATTGCAGTATGTTGTTCAGTTCACTGTCCGTGTAGGGAGCGTTCGCACAGACACTCTTCATCAAGGACATGCTGCATGTCGCCCTTGCAACATAAGGGTACTATAGCATTCCCCAGTGCAGCGACTGTAACCACCCTCCCCCCAGCTCACCGTGGATTCAGGCACTCCCTGTTCGAGCACCCATTTTACAGTATGACTTTGCCTGGAGTGACTTGAACAGACATTGATCGCACAAGATAGGTCTTCAGTGGCACACCAAAGAAAGGGTTCCGCCAAAGCCATGCTTGAACCAGTGAGGTTATTGGAGTTCCTTACAGGCACGCGTGACTCAGAGGCAGCTGTATCACAGAAAAGTCCACCCCACTGTCACCTCGGAAGTTCTATGCTGGAGCTCACTGTACAACATACAGTCAGTTCCCCCAGAAGGGAGGCTCCTCTCCCAGGCAGTTGTCCACTGTTTTTAGAAGCTGTGGGAATGGCTTTGTGGGTCTAGTAACTTGCTGAGCCTTTTGTTAGCTTTCTAAGTCTTAGGAGCCTGTTGCTTTCCTGGAGGATAAAATGTTTCAATTCAGAGGCAATAGGTACCTCACAGTACTCTAAAAAGACACTAAAAAATATTTTAAAAATATATGAATAGTAGTAAGCTTTGACAAAGCCATGCAATAAGGTTAGCTCTGTTTGGAGTATTTCCTCATCAGAATACAAAAATGTGTTTATTCTATGCATTCTAAGTATTCTAATGTAGCACTAACTTTATGGTTAAAAACACTGAAATCCAAGTCTTGTATGAAATATTGTTGTAGAATTATTGCTCTTTTACTTCATGAATACCTTCTCAGTTATTAATTAGCTGCAAAGTATTGTGCCAGGAAAATTTAAATAGATGATCATTTTAAAGGAAGTATGGGAAAATATCAGTATATAAACAGATCGCTAATCCAACCATACTCTTTCTGCCTTATGTGTCTGTTCCTTTACGGTTGTTGCAGACACTGTAAATGTTTGTCTCATTTTGATTTTTTAATAGGCAGAAATGATTTCTCTTTCTCCTTCCATCCCTCCCTCCTCTTCTAATCTAGAATACTTCTACAAAACAGCTTTTCTTATTGCTTATTGTTTAAATATTAATTCTTTATAATTTAGAGCTTATGACTTCCTTGAAACATTTTCTTCTGTTGTAGAATTTCTACCCATTGTATTTTCTCCGACCTCTACTCTCACCAATAGAAAAGCAAACTAGGTACCATTTTTCTAGACTTAATTCTGTCTTGAATTTTCTTGTCCTGTAGCTATTAGCTGAGTAGTTGAACAATTTCAAGGACATAGGCCTTAGCCAGGCTCCCTAGGACTTTGTGTGTGTGTTTGGGGGGGGTAATTATTGAAAGTATATTTGCTCATACAGGTTTATCCTGTCTTTAAAACTTACCTGTTTAGAAAGGCAAATGGGATAGACATTGGAAGAGGGTGAAAACAAGGAACAAGACAGGAGCGTACCACAGAGGGTCTTTGAAAGACTCTACCCAGCAGGGTATTAAAGCAGATGCTGATACTCATAGCCAAACTTTGGGTGGAGTGCAGGAAATCTAATGAAAGAAAGGGAAGATAGTAAGACATGGAGAGAACAGGAGCTCCACAAGAAGAGCAACAGAACCAAAAAATCTGGGCCCAGGGGTCTTTTCTGAGACTGATACTCCAACCAAGTACTATTCATGGAGATAACCTAGAACCTCTGCACAGAAGTAGCCCATGGCACCTCAGTGTCCAAGTGGGTACCCTAGTAAGAGGAGCAGGGGTTGTCTCTGACATGAACTCAGTGGTTGCCTCTTTGATCACCTTCTTCTGAGGTGGGGGTCAGTCTTACCAGGCCACAGAGGAAGACAGTGCAGCCAGTCCTGATGAGACCTTTTCACTGGACTTGGATTGGGGCTTGGGAGGATATGAGGGAGGGAGGGTGGGATTGAGAGGGAATGAGGGAAGGGGCTAGAGCTCGGATACGAAGTTAATAAACTAATTAATATAAAAAAATTAAATTTAAAAAAATTGACTCAAGTATGAAAACTTACAGAAAATTTTATTATAGATCTCAGTATATATCAGCAGGTCTTTCCACTGCTCCCTCAATTAGAGGAAACACTAAATGGTTGGCATTTAAAGTCTCAGAACTCAGGAGCTGCCTGCCACATCTAAGTTCAGTTACTGGGAGAGCTCTCTTTCAACTTAGAATTGACCAGGAAGTGTTGTGATTCTCCCAATTGCCTCCAAGTGATTCGCGAGACCATGCTTTGCAGTGCTGTGTCTTCTCTTCATCTTTTCTCTATTTTAAGGGGAGGGGTTGGTTTTTGC